GGCGGGGGGATGTCAGAGGACACACTTGAATATACAGGTAAGTACATCCACTGCTCATGTGTAGACAGGCAGGCCAGCACCCAGCCTGGAGAGAGAGGGGAAGTGGAGCCAGGGAGCTCCTCCCAATGACCAGGGGAAGCCTAATGCCTTACTCCTCCTGCCCTGCCAGGCCAGTGTCCCCTGGGATGGGCTGCAGGGCACTTGGGCTGGGCCCTGCCAAGAAGAGGCAGGAGTGAGGAGCTAGAGCTGTGGATCTAGAGCCCCTCAGGGAGCTGAGGCCACAGTTCCCTTTAGAGACTTTGTGCCCCAGGCTGTAGGAGCTGAACCTGCAACTGGGTTCCATAGTGAAGTACCTGAAGAGTTCTTCAGATCAGACTGGTCAGTGCCTGCAGTGACCCCTGGAAGGCTGCAGCTCTGTCCCAGCTTGGCCCCCATGATAAGCATTAGCAAGCTTTTACTCGGGGTGGGATGGAGGAGTTAGTTCACGCAACAACCAGCGGAACACTGGTCCTGACTTCCAGCCCCACCTCCCATCCCCAGATGGTCTTAGCTCTGTCTCCAGGGCCATGGCCTGTGGTGGAGGCTCAGCCGAGGGGAAGATATAGATGGCACTGGGCTGCCCACCTGTCTGGTTGCTGAGACTAGGGCTTCCTGCACTAAACCCAGGGAATCCTGTGTGAGCCAGGATAGGGAGCTGCCTAGTCAACACCCTACACCTGGTAGCTTCAGCCCCAGAACAAGTTCCTGGTTTGATGGCGTCCCTTCATCTTTCAGAAGCCCGTGTGAACTGCTCTGTCCACCCTCTGCTGCTGGAAGACTCACCCTCCTGCCCCAATCTCTATGCCAATTGGCTCGTCATCCTTCTGCTGGTCACCTTCTTGCTGGTCACCAATGTGTTACTCATGAACCTGCTCATCGCCATGTTCAGGTGCCCATGCCCTGCCCAGGCCACTATGTCCTTGCCGTGTCCACGTGGGTCCTTGGCACCTTGCTGCTGGGCCCACTGACAGTGGGGGAGCCCCAGGGTGTATGTGTGGCAGGGAGTGAGCCCACCCTGGTTCTACAGGATCTCCCTCCTCCAGAAAGCAGGCCCAGGTCTGCAGAGGCTGGGAGCTCCACTGAGCGGAGAGCCCCAGGTGTCTGGCAGAGCAGGGAGCGGAAGGGGTCCCTGTGGTTGGGCCCCACTGCGGAACACCTACAGACTATTGTAGAAGGGGTACTGAGCTTCACCATCCCCGGGCCCCAGGGACACCTGGCCTGCTTCTGGCTCTACTGAGGGGCAGGGTGTGTGCCAAGGGGTAAGGACCAGTGGGGTGAGAGCCCGACATGTGCCCTGCAGCTACACGTTCCAGGTGGTGCAGGGCAATGCCGACACCTTTTGGAAGTTCCAACGCTACCACCTCATCAAAGAATACCACGGGCGCCCAGTCCTGGCCCCGCCCCTCATCCTCCTCAGCCACTTGAGCCTGGTGCTCAAACGGGTCTTCCGGAAGGCAGCCGAGCATAAGCGGGAGCACCTGGGTGAGGCTGTGGGCTAGACTTTGCTGTCCTGAGGGCCCTTTGGGGAGGCCAGGGCCCTGCGCACTCAGACTGGGCTCTATCTAGGCTGCCAGAGCCCCAGACTCAGAGCAGAAGGGCCCAGGCAGCATGTGGCCTGCCCTTGCCCATCTGCCCTGTACCCCAGCTAGGTGCTCCTGCCCTGGAGCTCCTCAAGCTGATTCAGACCTAGCGTCTGCCAGGCTCATTCCTGCCCCTCGCCTGCCCAGAGAGAGACTTGCCAGACCCCTTGGACCAGAAGATCGTCACCTGGGAGACTGTTCAGAAGGAGAACTTCCTGAGCAATGTGGAGAAGAGAAAGCGGGACAGCGAGGGCGAAGTGCTTCGGAAAACTGCCCACAGGTGCGGGTTGGGGCAGCCTACGGGACTAAGACCAGGTGGGCAGGGCTCAGACCTGGAACCCCACCGGCGAGTTGCCACCTCTCCCTGCACCACAGCGATACTCAGAAATACTCAGGGCAGTACCTTGCAGGCAGATGACCCCCGAGAGACCTGGCTGTCCCTCTGAGGTGTGTGTGGGGCTGGCACCTTGATCTGGAGGGTGTTAAGAGGAGCCTCGTGTCTGGGAAGCCTCTGCCTGTCCCGGGTATCTGGGTACCTGTCATTGCCATTGCTAGGGGGTTGAGCTCCATTAAAGCTGCCTGAGGCCCTCTGATGCCAGGGACAGGATATGGGCTGGGAAACAAGTTGAGGGGGCAGAGACCCGGCCAGGTCACAGACCCCTGTCTACCTGCGTGGGTCAAGAAGCCTTGCATCTCCCTGCTGTGGGACTCTTCCTTCTCTTCATACCCAGCCCTTCCTCCAGGGCTGCATCCCCTGTATCTCCTCTGGCTGGCTGGTGTACCTGGGCAGGGATGTCCCAGAAATGCTCTGTACCTTAAGACCAGCCCCAAAGAGCCCTCAGTGCCTCCAACTCCAGATCAGGAACAAGAAAGGGAAGAGTGGGCAGGAAGGGTCCAGAGTACCAGAATGAGGCCCTCAGAGGCCTGGTGACAGGCGGGGAATGGAATGCTCCCCCATGCAGAGTGCCACATGGTTGTCACAGCCACAGCTGCCCCTGCTTCTCCACAGAGTGGACTTGGTTGCCAAGTACCTCGGGGGGCTGAAAGAGCAAGAGAAGCAGATCAAACGTCTGGATTCACAGGTAAGCTGGTAAGCAGTCCTTTGCTGGGGGACAGGAGCAGAAGGCCCTGAGGATAGGAAGGGGAGAGTCCAGGGCAAAGACATACATCAGCTTGCCCATGCCCCTACCCCTAGGTTCCCCCAGTCACTTGAGATCAGGTCCCCTCCTAGAGCTGGTCCTGCAGACCAGGAAGGGTCCCCCAATTCAGACCCTCATCATCCACTTGCCACATACTACACAGGAACCATGCCCAGAGGGAGGATGACTGTGGAAACAGGAGAGGGGATATAGTTGGGGAAGGGGAATTCCATGTCCTGGCATCTCCCTGACCCCACTCTCCAGGTAAACTACTGCACACTGCTCCTGTCCTCCATGGCAGACACACTGGCCCCAGGTGGTGCCTTCTGGAGTAAGTGTGCATCCAGGGCATTGGGGAGTGTGGGCAGGGCTCCGTTCCACGATGGTCTGGCCTTCCCAACCTGGAGGCCTCCAGTGTCCTTGCTGGCTACTGTTCCTGGGGAGTGCAGGTGCCAGCCAGGGAATAAGGCCTTGGGATCCTCAGATTCCTGAGGCCCTACCCCTTGCTGCCTCAAACCCATATTCGTTTTACTCTGGGATCCCTGTTTCCCAGGATATTCTGTGGGAACCCATTCTGAGGACCTGGGCCTTAATTCCTAGGCCTGCCCAGGCTGGCATTCAACAGCTGAGGAGGGCCCTTTCTTTCCACCAGGCTCGCAGAACTGTGGGGGTGGGAGCTGGAAGGCCCCTGCAAGCCACGATGGAGGTCCTGGTGGCCAGGAGCACCCAGACATTGGCTGTCCACCTTCAGACACCTAAGCTACATGGCCTGCTGTACCACAGGCCCACCTGTCCTGGAGCCCCAATCTTTGCTTACCAGTAGCCATCCTGGGCTTTGAGGGACACACCAATCACTGCTACCTTAAAGAGATGGCCTTCTCGGGCTAATCACAGACCACCTGTACCTGGACATTTTCTTTGTGAAAATGAATCAAGTCTCCTGGCACCTTCCTGAGATCGCCAGGGATGCCCAGTAGTATTGAGGGGTGGCTCTCCTGGCAGGGAGAATTGTGTTCCTATCTGTAGCCCCACTGGCCTGGACTGGACAGCAATCTGACCAGGCACCTGAAATGGAGCCATCTGTCCATGGTGGTCAGTTGCTTTGGGGCCTGCTTCTGCCCCAACTTGTTTTTCTGACAAGAGATTGACCTTTCTTTGAAATGTTAATAGTTACAATTTCTGTCCCTTTAAAATCCAAACCGGGCTTGGTGGGGCACGCCTGTAATCCCAGCACTCAGAAGACCGAGGCAGAGGATCATCGTGTGTTCAAGACCAGCCTCGGCTACAAACTGAGCTCAAGGCCAGCCTGAACTGCATAGCAAAACCCTGTCTCAAAATAAGACAAAACAAAACAAAGATCCAAATGGCCCATCAAGAGTCACCTGACCAGTTATGCCAGGTAGGCCTGGATGTCCACTATGACTATTAGCTCTTCCCCTTTCTCCTTATTGACAGCTGGCACAGTCCAGGTTGGTATATCCACTGGCAGTAACCCCACAACATGATCCCCCCTGGATGCCCAATGCTGTTTCATTTCCAGTGGAGACTAGCAATATACCCCACCCAGCCAGAGCCATAGCCTAGGGCTACCTGAGGCACCCAGCGCCTCCATATTGTCAGTAGAATACCTGGGGACAGGGACAGGGCTCACTTCCCTGTGGGGGTGGGGGTCTGAGCTCCTGTGCTGGTTCTTTCTTCAGACTTTAGCACTGGAATGGGGTCTGCAGAGGCAGTGCTCAGCAGCACAGCAGGACGACCTAATCCCCAAGTCCCTAGGCCCAATCATGAGGGAGACGTGCCCACCCCTGCCAGCCTTCTCTGCAGCCCCACAGGACCACTCGTTCCCTAGAACCCAGCTTGGGCAGGGCTAGGCCCATGGGACACACAACCCTGAACACCTGTCGTGTGCTCATCTTCATACAGCCTGGGTAGGGCTCCAAGAAGGCACCCACCCAGCCTCCCTATGGTTGCCTGATCACATTCCAGACTCCTTGTATAGTCTGACTCTGCCCACCCAGGCGTGCCAGGGGCCCAAAGCCTAGATGCTGGACTATTAGTACCCCTGGAAGGCCTCTACCATGACAGATGCAGGTGTTGACTGAAAACCCTCAAAGGAGCCATGTTAGGCCACTGGGGTCAAGTGTGGGGTAGGGCACTGGAGGAAGGCCAGAGAGAAAAGGCGAAGACCCCTAGCTGCTGCTGTTGATGAAGACCTTGGGTGAGCAGGGCCCAGACATAGAACTGGAGAAAGACCCTAAATCTTTATTTCCCCAAGATGGACATCCGGGAGGCAGGGCTTCTGATGTCCCTGCCCACTCCCACCCTCCTCCAGGTCCAGGGAAGGTCTCTGCTCTGGAGATGGACGCTCAGGGCTGCTGCCGCCTCCTACAGGTAGCCCACTGGCTTCCTTCCAAAGGGGATGCCCCACCTGCCATCCCAGTGGCAGTGACTCTGGCCAGCCCTGCCTGCAGCCTGGTGGGGTGGTCAGGCTGGGTGTTCTTTCTCAGACCCCAGACCCTCAGGGCTGCTGCCCCTGTTCCGGAAATGCTCTCTGCTTCGCTTCTTGCTGACATGGAAGCCAACTGTCTCTGCCCCTGGGGGGCCCAGTGAGGTCCCAGTGTGGGCAGCCCCTGAAAGCTTCACCACTTCATGCAATCCCTGGGGGCTGCTCCATTCCTCAGCCTCTGGACCTCCAAACCCTGCCAAGTGGGTCAGCTCTACAGGGCCCTCACCCCCCGAGTCCCCTTTTGTCAGGACCCTTTTCCTCTCAGGTCTGATCTCGCTGGCCCGGACTGGCTTAGTGAAAACCACTCTTCCTTCACCACAGCTGGAGGGATCCTGGTTGAAGGAGGGCTTGTAGTCAGTGGGAACTGTGGGGCTCCGGGAGCCCAAGAAAGCCAAGGCAGCGGCCTGATTGCTCTGCTCACTGGCCTCAGCCACGTCCTCCAAGCTGTATTTGGTCCAGCGCTCAGGGTGTGCCACATAGTCAGGGACAGGGGCTACCCTTGGAGGGTTAGGTCTCCCATGGGCCCTGCCTAGGCCCCCTGCTGGAGGCTGGCTTGAGGGTGCCAGAGGCCGCTTGAAGTCACCATTGTCACTCATGCTGGTTTGGGCTGCAAAGGGTGGCACCTGCCTGGCTGCCCCTTCCAGGCAATCAAAGATGCTGTGGCTTCGCTGGGAGAAGGTAGAGCTCATGCCTCGAAGGTGGAATGGCTGCACCGCTGTGGTGGGAGTGCCTGCAGGGGGCGAAGGGGGCTCTTCGAGCTCTGGGTCCTCCTGGGCCTCCCCAGACAGTACCTCTGGAGACAGTGCTTCCACCTCGGCACCACCTGGCGAGCTGAGATCTGAGTCTGAGTCACTAAGAGAGATGGAGTCAGAAGGCAGGATGTCATTCTCTGTCACTTGCTCAGGCTCCAAGCCAGGGCAGGGCTCGCCTGACCCTGCCTTAGCCATGTTTCCTCTGGCCAAGCCACACGGAGAGTTTGTCTGTGAGGAGAAAATAGTTTAGAACAGCGCCCTCTTGCAGACCCACCAGGCACTTCAGCAGAAAAAACTACGTCCTACAAAACCAAAGGCGCTACCCTCGAAGGGCCTCCTGTCACCTGGTGTGCTGCGGGCCTCTGGTGCACAGTGGAACCCTGGCTAGTTGGGCGGAGGAGCCCTGATGGAGGTCCTCAGTGGGAAGGGTATGTCCTCAGGCCGAGAGGTGGAGCTGCTTGCTGGGTGGGGCCTGGCAGGAGAGAATGAACCATAAGACCAAACTGCAAATACCTAAGAGATACCGACAGGGTGACTCGAGGAGCCCCAACAAGGGCCAGGCTTGAGACCAAGTGCTTTCGACCCCTACCTTGTCTGATGCCGACAATGGTCTCCGGGGAGAGATAACACAGCCAAGTGGCCTGCGTGGAGCTCGTTGCAGCTAGCAGAGGGCCACGCTGAACTGGAGGGTACAAAGCGCGAATCGCGCGGTCGGTACAGTGTACAGTACAACGCCGGGCGCCCTAGGTTGGATGCGCAGCCTCCCGGCAGGGCGTCACACTGAAGCTGCGGGGCGCAACAGCTTACGCTGTCCCCTCCGGATCCAGAGTCTTGTGGACTCTTTCCGATGCCGCTCCTCGCGGCCGGCACTTCGCTGGTTGCGGGTTCCGGAAGCCAAAACTCTTAGGCCGCGCTCCCCGCCCACACACGCACGGCCCTCTGGGAAGCAGAGTCCTGTGCTGCCCGCGTGCCGCGGCTTCCTTGCCCGAAGAACTACATCTCCCACTTTCTGGTGTCCGGAGCGGCCCCGGAAACCACCGCAGCGTTAATCACAGAAAGGGGCGGAGCCAGGACTGCGATTCCCACAATGCTCTAGGGCTACCGGCCCGCCGTAGCTCTAGCGCCGCCTGCCGGAACCAGTGAGGACAGCAGTTGCCTCAGACAGGAAGTGCGTCATTGCGCACAGTGGGCAGGAACCTTTTCCGAGGGGCTTCCGGTTCTGGCTGGAAAGACTCTCTCGCTCTGTCCTTCTCCCTTCGGGGGCGGAGCTGACTGGGCCAAAGACCCTGGGTGGAGTCGGAGATGCAGGGCTCTCGTCCTCTGCCTAGGGGCCGGCTAGGCCGCTGCGTACTGTACTGCCTGTTCTCCTGGTCCAGTTTTAGGGCTTCGAGGCTCTTCTCCAAGGGCGCTGGCCCAGCTGTTTATGGCAGGTAGTGGGTCAGCTTCCCCCTAAAAATGCGCTTGACAGGACTTACGCCTTTGACCACCAGGCCGTACTCATTGCTCCTCTGCCCAGCATGCTCTTAGTTCTGTGCTGCTGGACAGAGAATCTAACCTTAAACAGGAGAGAAGCCACCCAATCCCAGGGCCTGCCATCCTGGCATTCACTGGGGACTCATTGTTTGCTCTGCTTTGAAACAAAGGGGACACAGGTCTCCCTCAGCCTCTTGGCCTTCTGTTTGCCTTTGGCATATCTTACTCGTCCCTCCCCACCACCTTACCAGGAATGCATGCTTCTGCTTCCAGAAGCCCAGTGTGAAGGTGACACCCAGGCCACTAGGCAACAGCCTTGGCCAGATATCCCTGGAGCCTTTCAGAGAGGAGGGTCTTTGGACCATTAACAGACCCAGGCAGCATGGAGGGGAGGGGAGGATGTAGTCCAGTGACAGAACACTTGCCTAGCATGAGGGAGGCGCTGGGTTCAACCCCTGGGATCACAAAAAAAAAAAAAAAATACAATTAAACTAAAAAGCCAACCAGGAAGGAGTCCTGATGAGACCCCTCAACTTCCCAAATACAGGTCTGGGACTAGTTTCCCAAATCAGGCTGCACAGAGGCTGCTGGAAGCCGGTGGCATGAATCCTAGCCAGGTCCTGGTCTAGAGGCTAATTAAATGTGCCTGCATCCCCACCTAAGGGGAAGCAGCCTGACCTGGGGTGGGGGTGAGGGTGAGGGGCAGACAAGGGAATATAGACAGAGCCCACTGATTAAGAGATGAGAGGGAAAACTGGTGGGGGAGAGGGTTACTAAAGAGGCCACTTAGCCTCAGAGCCTTACTTTGGTGTGCTGGGTAGGCTCCCAGGCAGCAGTTAAGTTTTTTTTCCCTGCCAGTCCCTTTGAGATATGGCCTGGGCACTGAGCCACCCAACTCAATGGAAAACTTACAGGCACTTAGACAAGGAAAAAAAAAAAAAAAAACTTGAAATGTTCCAGAGGGAGCAGTGCATCCATTCTTCACTGTGTGTCCCTTGGGAAGAAAGGGTGGGGGTGTCTTGCAGTCCCCCCCAGCATATCCTGTACCAAATTTCCCTGGCTGGCCCCTCCTGCTTTTGGACAAGCATGTCCAAAAGTTGAGGTAAGTGAGGTATCACAGAACCCTGTATGGGGCACTCACCATGTGGAGAGTTCCCTGAGGGTCCAGTCCTGCCCACTGTGGCCAGCAGCCCCTCTTGAGCTGATTCACCTTGGGCCCAAAAAGTCCAGAGCTGATTCATACCCATGTCAAGCTCCCCTGTCCCTTCAGCTGCCCCTGGGTCTTGGATGATCTGGCACAGGAAGGGGCCCCACAGTCTTGTTAGCATGCCTGATTTTCCTTCTTTATTAAATGTCTGTTTCAAGATGTAATTAAGTTGAAGGTGACATGTTAGAAAGGACAGGTGCATTGAAGGCATAAGAGTGCTCACAGACCCAGCTCTTGAAATGGGGGTGAGAGGAACAAGGATTAAAAAGGTGAGCCATGCAGCCCACAGAATGAGCCAGGGGGTGGGCACACATAGCTCCCGAGCTTGGCCACGCTGAGCATCCGCATCCAGGCAAGTGGTCTCTGGGAGATGCCTGGCTCAGCAGGCAGAGCTCCCCAAGGGGCCCAGAGACAGCCCAAGGCCTAGCCAGCTCCACCCCCACACACGCCACCTACAAGTGACGCCAGCCCCAAAAAGTAATAGGAAAGTTCAGAATGAAAACAAAACCTCAAAAATGTAAAAAGGCTAAGTGTAGCAGAGTAATACCGGAAACATTATATACACAGGCAGCAACGCCTGCAGCAGCCTCCGGGTCACTCTGGGGGCACTGCAGGGGTCCCAGCAGCTGGAACTGCAGGGCCTCAGTACACGGAGCTGTTCCGGATACCACAGCACAGCACCATGCTCAGGATCATCTCAAAGATCTGTGGGAGGAGAGTGCAGTAAGCACCACAGGAAAGGACAGGCAGAGCGGCTGCGTCCCTGTTCATCCCACTCACCATGATGACAGCAACCACTATGGCTGCGATGCCAATGAGGTACAGCTTCCCAGAAAAGAGTTCGTCGATCTTCTTGTGGCAGTCATCCTGCAGGGGTGGCCAATGGGTGGTCAGGGGCTGGCTTCAGTTCCAAAGAACAGAGAGGACTCACAGCCATCACCCCTGCCTGCCTGAGGAGAGGGGGGTACAGTGGCCAGACCTCTGCCCAGGGTTTACCTTCCACTGGCTTAAATAAATCAAACACAGGATCTACTGCTTGGAGCCTTTTGAGGTCATGATTATTGGTATCACTAGTGCTCTAGTCACTGGTGTGACAGATGTTCATAGAGGGTATTTCTCCAGGGTACTGTGGCACACCAGCTGTCAGGAGGTCAGGACCCTGGGTGCCCACAAATATGAGCAGAGCTATGAGTTGCCCAGATCTCCTCGTGAGGCCCACCTGTGAGGCTCCCACCTACCCTCCTATGGGCCCTGTACGTAAGCCCCACCCAGCCCTCCCAGCAGGGCAGCCCTGACATGGGCCTTGGTTCCAACTGGTTTGGACCACAGGGACCCCTGTGTAGACTACCCAGAACCCAGGACCCCACCCAGGTGTGTACAGACCCGGCTTCTGCCCCACCCACTGCTGTGCACCTTCCATAAGGTATTCATGAAGGAGCTGTCCGAGGGACACAAGTTGTTCCTCAGCACCGAACTGGACAGCGCAGTCAATGTGTTGGAGCCACAGCAGTTGAGCTGTAGAGGTCAAGAGCACTGTGGTCATCTCACCAGGCAACGGAGAAGAAAAGCCATAGATAAGCATTACATCACCCTCCCAACATGCACCGGGGACCAGCCTTCCTCCCCAGTCAAAGGCACTGCTCAGACATCCCCCATTGGCCAGGTTCAAGAGGTTCTTGCTAGGAAATGGGTCACAGAGGAGACACCCCCCCCACCCCCACCGACAGATCCTGGGTCTGAGCTGAGGTTGGACTACTCCAAGAAGGCACACAACCCCACCCTGGTCCTGCAGCCCTCCTGCTACCCAGCCCAGCCAGCCGCACCGTCTCATGGAAAGTCTTCACCACAGCCTTGGCGTTGTTAGCTTCGTCATCCACCACAGCCTGCTGCAGAGCCTGGTCATAGAACTGCTTCACATCCTTGGCGATCTGGGGAAGCGGCATAGTCACATATACTTGGGACAATCCCCAGGGCAGAGCCCTGCACTCTGAGCACCACCCATGTCCTCAGCCCCAGTGTCAACTCCTCCACAGAGCTGAGATCTTCCTACCAGGCAGATCCTAGGAGGAGTCCAGAGAGCCCCCAAAAACCATGGGCTAAGGTGACCCATCACTAGCAACCTGGGCAGTGCTCCTTGCAGGCTCACCTGGTCCTTGTTGACAAAGCCCCAGATGCCAGCAGCCACCTCACAGGCGAAGAGGATCACAAGGCAGGTGAAGAACTAGGAGCAGGGAAAAAGAGGGTAGGCTCTGGGTAGGGCCCAGGCTAGCATGGGGCTGCCTTCTACAGAGGACAGACCCAACAGATATAAAACGGGAAGCTGGCAGTAGCTGCCAACCTATGTCCCCATCCAGAATAAGCCACGCGGAGCCATGAAGGACAGAGCCTGAAGTGCAGCCCTTGCAGCAAGGTGCGGGCATGTTCATTCTCCCCACACTGCCTACCTCTGCAGGATGGCCAGCTGGAGCAGGGAGGATGGGACAGGTTAACAGGTAACAGGTGATCAGCCCAGGTGGCTGCAGCCCCTTGGGCAGTGACGACAAACCTTTTGGAGTTTTCAGTGACACAAACAGCCCACGCAGCATGAATGCCATAGGTTCACTATACTGCCCTAGGGAGATGTTGGCACAGCTACTCCCATCTAAACTGACCCAGCCCTGGACAGTATAGCTGGGCCTCTGCTTCCTGCTGGCAGGTGATGTGCCCCAGGGACACAAGATGCTGGCCTCAGAGTCAAATTCAATCCCTATGACATTTATGGCTTTTTTTTTTTTAAAGAAAGAAAAAAAATCCTTTTTGTAACTGTTACAGTTTGTGTCTACATTTCCCCGCAGAGCCTCATGCAGTCGTGGGGGTGGGGTTCTAGAGTTTGTTTGATTAATTCATGGTCCAATATTGGGACCAAGGGTGTGAGTACTACACTCACCCTAGGGTGGGTAGCCTACATACACTATAAGAGACAAAAAGAGTTTTCTCTCTCTCTCTCTCTCTCTCTCTCTCTCTCTCTCTCTCTCTCTCTCCTCCCCTTTTGTTCTTGTTGCTCTTGCTATTTTCCGCTGCCTTGAACTGTTGCCCTCTGCCTGCCACCTTGCTCTGGCACCAGCTGATTAGGGACTGAAACCTCCACAAACCGTGAGCTAAATAAACCTTTCACCTTTTTTTTGTCTTTTTGAGACTGGGTCTCATGTGCAGTCCAGGCTGGCCTTGAGCTCACTTTGTAGCCCAGGCTGGTCTCGAACTCACGACGATCCTCTTGCCTCAGCCTCCCGGTTACTGGGATTACAGGCGTGCGCCACCATGCTGGGCAACCTTTCCTCTTTTAACCTTAAGTGTTGGGTATTTTGTCTCAGCAATGAGAAAAAGTAACTAAGACAGTAACTTAGCCTTAGGAACTAGACATGATAGAGATTCAATTTAAGACGCGAACAGGAAAACCAGAAAGCCAAAATTCTAGGAGGATGTTAAGGCTGCCCAGTGACCCCTGGTCCAGCCTGGGGAGGCCCCAAGTGCCATATCCAAGGCCTGCTGGGCTGAACTGAAGCCCCTGAGTCTGCCCCTATGCCCACTTGGCACCTGCTGAACCCTACTTCTCAGCACCAGCCCAGAACCCACTGACTTCCCAATCTTACCGTCCCCAGCAGACACTGGGACTCCTGGATGGCCCCATAACAGCCAAGAAAGCCGACGAACATCATCACAGCCCCCACAGCAATGAGGATGTAGATGCCTGTTGGGGAGAAGGGCCCTGGTGAGTGCCCACACACACACTGTGCCCAAGACATGAGGATCTGAGGCACTGGCACTCATATTAGCTCGACCTGGCCACTTGCGTATTGTCTGTGCCTCAGTGTCCTCTTCCACGGCATGGGAGGGGCCGACTATGCTGAGGAGAGGATTGGATGATACTTAAGTACCCAGAGAACCCTGCTGACAATGCTTCACAGAGATCTTCCACAGTGTACCCACCACCTGTATCTACTCCCAAAGCCTTTAGGACTCATGTGAGGGGCAGAGACCAACCCATTTGAAAGTGCCAAGTGATATACTGGACCTGTATGATGGGCCCTGTTGTTGGTAGTGGGGGGCTGTGCAGGGAACCCCAGTATTGGTATGTGAAGGGAAATGAGGTGAAGGAGTTCCATGGTGGCCACACAGCAGCCCCACCCCACCTGTCCCTGCCCTTAGGGACACCAGCATTTGAGTTGGGGTACTCTGTGTTTGCAGTGGATGGGGAGACCCTCAGGCAGGAGTGTGCTGCATGAAGTGGCCAGACCCATGAGAGTGGCAGGACTGTGCAGAAGCCAGTCCACACTCACCTGCCCACACCCACTGGACGGGCAGTGCATTCCTGGGGAGGCAGGCAGGGTCACAAAGAGTAGGGCCAGCAAGGACCAACATGTACAGGGTCTCATTGCCTGCAGCCCCCATTTTCCCTTGGGAAAGGCCACAGTGTCTCTGTAGGGCCCTCCCAGCTCCTCATCCTTCAGCAGACTGGCCCATCCCCCGGTCACCATGGCAACACTGCTGGGCACCCAAGCCTCCTTGCACAGAGCCAGGCCCATTGTCCCCAGCCTGGCCAGCTCAGGAGGGAAGGATCTGGGGGCCAGGATGCACTGTGAGGTTTAGAAATGGACTAGATCTGGGGCCTAGCCTTCTTGGCCAGCACTGAACACCTGACCAAGGGGAAGCTTCCCACGAGGCACACCTCACAGGTGGCTCTCCACCTGGGAACCAAAGCACACTTAAACTGGGTTTTGACTCCTCAGGCTCCCAGATCCCTGACCTCAAGATGAGGCAGGGCACCCACCCACTGTGTCACCAGGTCATGTTCAAGATAGAAGTGCAGACTGTCTGTCTCAGCAAGGAGGATCCCACAGGGCTAGGAGACCCAAGCGGTTTCAGTCTTGGGGCTGCTCACAGCTTCTCAGCAGCAGCCTCGCTCTAGCACAGCCTGGAGCCCTTTGGCATTTCCCAGGGTGCTGAGGGGGCCAGCCAACTCTCCATCTTCCCAGCAGTGGATAAAGC